GGAGCTGACAGTGTGAATTCCATATCACCCAGCTGAGTATCACACCTTGAATGCTGCCAGGTACTGCAATCACATCCAGAGAAGTCACTGTCAAGGAAATTCTAACATCTAAGCAGGTCAGACACGATGCTTATAAAAACATCATACACTACTTGTCTATTGAGCAAAGTAGTTAAAAACTCTTCAGTACCTCTGATTCTCCCCTAAAATGAGTTTACTTCTTATAGATTGTCAAGTGCCATTTTTCTATCTGTTCATCTAAATTCTACATTTAAGATTACTCCTCACCAGCTTATCTAAACATAGCTATGAATTATCACTTTTTTAGCTGCAAAATTTGAATTGCTTCACTGTGGGTTTTCTTGTCCAATACAGAGAGATTGAATTTCTATCGGTACCCTTAAAGCTCTGTCCATCTCTTGCCTAACTCCAAAATCTTATTAACTGTGCCTTATCACTTCCCATTTTGTTTTAAAATCCTCACTGACTCCTTCGCTTGTTTCCTTACTCGCTGTTTCAGTGCAAACCGAACACTGAAGTTAAGGTTCTCATCAAATGAACCATGGCTTTCAGGTAGAAGGCATCACAATTTATGCTCAACATACTTCTTTGCTCAATCTGTATCTCCCTTTGGTCAAGGTCCACTAGGTACTTAAATATGTAATAAGCATTATACACACTGAGAAGCAGATTTCTGGATTAAGAATTGTATTTTTTCTGTCAGAAACTAGCACTGGATCTTCAGACACCTGCTTTGTTCTGTGAGTATTTAGAACAAACTCTTCTAGCGGAGATTCTTCAAACAATGAAGTTCCATCAGAAAATTCCATGGATCCAAACGCATGTGGCACATGGCAGCAACCTGGCACATCTTCAGATGTCACAGCCTTTTCAGACTGAAAAGAAGTGTTCAGTTGAGATTCTTCTGCAGGATTAAAAGGAAGATTTCATCAGAAAAAAATAATACTAGTAAAATCTAAATATGATTGCTTTGCAAGTTCCTAACTATGGCTAACAGCTAATGGAAGTCCACATGCCAACAGCCCCAATTTTATATCTTAATATTGTAATTGTGTATTTGACATTCATATCAAGAGCAGAAGGGAAATTATTCTTAAAGCTCGAGTCATCTTTTATAACCTGTGTCAACAAGAGCAGCATCTCAGAGCCTTCCATTTGGAGACTTGGACCACAAGCTCTTTTCAACAAAAGTCAAACAACAGCCTGGAAAGAACTGAAGAAAAGAATGCCGTGAGGTCTGAAAGTGGCTCACAGAAAGGTAAACAAGTCATATCCAAAACATAGGATTGTGCCATCTGCAGCACTGCTTGAAGCAGTGTTTGGAAGCCTATAAGGAAGCCCAGGCAAAAGATCCTTACTGAATCATGGAATCCAGTATTTCAGTCAAGATTGCTAACCTTCACATCTCACACCACATATGACTGTGGTATCAAAACATCTTTTGTTTCTAACAGCTCATTATGATTTCAGGAACATCCTTCCCATGGACTTATTTCATACCACTTTGCCAATACTTTATACAGCTACCTTATCAGTCCTGAGATAGAAAGGAGGCACTTTTGGAAGCTACTGACAGATAAGTGTCTCCTGACCTGTGTTCATAGATGTCACAACGATTACGTGTCTCATTGCTAGTGAAAGCAGAAACAGCAGATCTAGGGAAGCTCTATGATGACTTACTAAAAAGCCCTTTCCAGAGGGCTGCTAGCTATGGGCAATCTCTATTCTGTAACTGAAATCACGTTCCATTACAATATGAATGCTTGAGCAGGATATCGTGACTATTGTGTTTCAGAAGAAATGTAGGCCATAATGATTTTTTTGGAATTTCCTTATACATAAAACTGTTTCCAAAAAGGTGGTGCTACGCATACTCTTGTGCCAGCAAATTCACAGAATCACAGACTGGGTTGGCAGGGACTTCGCAGGTCATCTGGTCCTACATTCTTGCCCAAGCAGGGTCACCTAAAGCAGGCTGCCCCAAACTATTTCTGTCAGCTTTTGAAAATCTCCAAGGAGGGAAACTCCACAACATTTCTGGCCGATGTGTGGCAGTGCTTGGTCACCCATACACAGAATTTTTTCCTGATGTTTAGACAGAATCTCTTGCAGTCCAGTTTCTGCCCATGTCCTGCCACTGGGCACCAATGAAAAGAGCCTGGCTGCACCTTCTTTGCATCCTCAGTCCAGGTATTCACTCACAATAAGATCTTCCTGAGCCATCTCTTCCCCAGGCTGAACAATGCCAGGTTATGTGAAAGGTTACATTCTCTCACTTTCTTGTCTTCACATGAGACCAGTTCTAATTAGAGGCATTTGCTGTTCAGGTACTTTGGCAGGTTGAGCATGTATTCAGATGCCTTATCTTCAGGCAGGCAGGTGAAGTTTGTTCTGACTACTGTGGAAGGACTGATAGGCTGCTGTGTTACGTGATTTTCATCATCGTATGTGAGGGCATAATGCATTTTTTAAATAGCAGCACTAACCAGACCTACCTGGCACCCATTTCACAAGTGCCAACTAGATAGATAGAGCAACTTCACTGTTGCTGAACCCAGAAAGATTAATGATCTGGGTGTGAAAGACTAACTCACTGTGATCACAGAAATCACATCATTATTAGCTATGAGATATGGTTTAGTAGCTTGTGGTACTAATAGGAATGGGAGGGTGGTTGCACTAGATGATCTTGCAGGTCGTTTCCAACCTTGCAATTCTGTGATTCTGTGACCAGCAGTTCAAGGGAGGTGATGCTGCCCCTCTGCTCTGCTCTCACTGACACACCATCTGCAGTACTGCGCCCAGTTCTGCAGCCCTCAGCACAAGGACACGGAGTTGTTCAGCAGGTCCAGAGGAGGGCCACAAAGATGATCAGAGGGCTGAAACACCTCACCTGTAGGGAAAGGCTGAGAGAGCTGGAGCTCATCAATGTGGAGAAGAGAAGGCTCCAAGGAGACCTTGTAGTGGCCTCCCAGTACCAGAAGGGCCCTACAGGAAAACTGGGGAGGGACTTTTTATGAGGCCAGGTAGTGACAGGACAAGGGGAAATGGCTTAAACTGGAAAAGGGTAGATTTAGACTACATATTAGGAAGAAATTTTTTACGGTGGGGATGGTGAGACACTGCAACAGGTTGTCCAGCAAGGTTGTGAATGCCTCCTCCTTCCAAGCATTCAAAGCCAGGCTGGATAGGTCTTTTGAGCAACCTGATCCAGGGGGAGGTATTCCCTGCCTATAGATACTAGATAATCTTAAAGGTCCCTTCCAATCCATACCATTCTATGATTCTACTCTATGATTCTATATTCATAAGGCTATTCTTGTTCTCTAATTTGTTGTGCTACTTGAATAGAATAATCTTGCACAGAACTTGCTTAGAAGATGCAATTAAATCTGCTGAAGCCGAAGGAAACAGACTGCTGGACTTGCACCCAGCTGCAAGTAAAGAAAGCCACAGAGCTTACTCTAACTGCAAGATAAGGAAGTAAGAAAGACTAAATTGAGACTCTGCAAGCATTGGCAGATCTCACAGTCCTGAAGATTGGAGAAAACAATCCACCAAGAGACAATGAAAGGAACCAATCCAGAGCAGGAAGATCTCCAACCTCAATAGTACTATTGGTCTTCATGGCCGACGGGGAACATGCAGCAAAAGGGCATTTCTCTGTGCAAGGTCCTTCTTCAAGAGCAATCACCTCGAGTTTTTTGTGTAACTTCAACTCTGTATGGCTTTTATTTTTTTTGGTGGGGAATCAACCACCAGCCTAAGAAGCCTGTATCAGCAGCTGACCACACTAACAGTAAATAAATGTTTCCTATTGTCTGGTCTGAACTTCCCCTGATGCAGCTCTGGGCCATTCCTGATCGTCCTGTCATTGGTTCCCAGGTAAACACAGCACCTTCCTCTGCTCTCCCCTCTTCAGGGAGTTGCAGAGAGCAAAGAGGTCATCTCCTGGCCTTTTCTTCTCTGGACTAGGCAATGCAAGTGCCCTCAGCCTCTCCCCAGAGCACACACCTTCCAGTCCTGTTAGCAGCTTTGTTCCCCTCCTCCTGGCTGCCAGGGCACACCACTGGCTCTGGTTAAACTTGCTGTCCCCACCACCTCTAGACCCTGTCCTAGTACTGCTCTCCAGACACTTGTCTCATCATCTGTATGTTTGTTCTTATTCCACTGCTGGTACAGTGTCTGGCATTTTCCTCTGCTGATTGCCTAACGTTCTGATCTATCTAGATTCTTCTGCAAGGTCTCCCATCCCTCCAGGGAGCCTCCAGCACTTCCCAGTTAAATATCATCAGCTGTTTAAGAAAACCTGCAGAGGATGCACACCTCTCCTGCGTCCAAGTCAATGGGAGCCCCATTCACTGTGACTCTTTGAGCTCTGCCACTGAGCCACTCAGTATAGCCTGTACCTGTCCATCTCACATTTGGATGACTTGTCTGGAAGGATGCCATGAGGGACAGGATCAAAGGCCTCCCTGAAATCTAGAAAAATCACATCCTCTGCTTTCATACACAAAGTGAGTGGCCTTATCATAGAACAAGATTTGACGACCAAGACTGGCTGCACACATCTCTCTTACAGATGTTGAGGCCACCAGGCTGTTTACCCAGGCAGAGCTTTAGCACACAGAAGTGTTTTTACCAGAATGTTGTGCTGAACTCTAACACTTACCCCCAGCTTGCTGGCTGTGTTGTACTGGCATGTCGCTTGTGATGGAATTCTTAAGTGGATGCGCTTGCCACGAACCTTCCTGGATTGAAGCAAGAGATAGGTTGTGACATACTCTTGAAAACAAGACTATTTAGATCTCTTCAGAGAAGTTTTCAGTACAAACAAAGCTTAGCGTTCTAAACGTTTCTGCATGTCTGGAATATTTTCCCCTTGATGTGCAACCTTCACACCTGATCACATCAGGCTAGTTTCAGACCTTAGCTGCTCACACAACAAGTTTAAGATAAAGAAGCAGACTGCTCTTGTGTTTGCTTGAGAGCAGGACAATTGCTGAAAGAGAAAAGTAAAGCTGGTGCCAGAATGTCTCTACTGAAGTGAATGGCAAAGCTCCTATTAATGCATTTTGCACAATATTCCATCTGAACTCCCATTTTTGGGGGTCATGTTTCAGCCCAGCTCCAAGGAGCATCAACATTCAACTTGATTTTCAGCAACTTTTTGACTACTATGAGAACCATGGGTAAAATGCTTGATAGACTCACTACATTTTTTCATTTTCATTACATAATTACTTACTAATTAGTAATTACTTACTACTACTTACTTACTTATTACTTACTTACTACTTATTAATTACTTACAAGGCATTAGAAGTCCTCTGATAAAGGACTGTGAAAATATCACAGACTAACATGGAAGAACTTCTTCCCCTTGTAGGTAGATTGTTCTCATTATTTTCTGTACCTGAAAAAAAGTAGAAATGTCTCTCCTGGGTAAAACTTACATTTTATATCTATTCCTACTAAAGTTATATGGAAATCTTAACAATCCTTCCAAATTCTACCACTTTCTATTTAATAGAAAGACAATTCAATTTCAAGAAACAATTTTCAGATTCAGGTTAAAGCCAGAGTACTCATCGTGTTTTAAATCTCTTCTGCAGCTTGGAATGTCATTAGTGACATTTATACAATATCTCTAGAAGCATTCAGTTAAGCTTTTCTCATTTATTTTCAAAAGTTACTGGAATGGATTCATTTCTTTAAGAGTTTGTGAGTTGTAATTCCCAAAACTTGTTTGGTTGTCTGAGTGAGGAGTTGATATTTTCCACTTATTAATGAAACATTTCAGAGCAGTGAGTTCAGCCAGCACGTGACACCTGCTGTGCATCCATAAGTTTCTGTTTTGAGTCTGTCTGGACTTCCAGAGATTCATAAGGATTTTAACGTGGTAGAAAATAACAGAAAGGCTTAGGAAACAAAACTAAAGGAGAAAAATAGAATAAATGTGAACTTCAGAAATGTGGCTATTAGCTACAGATAGACTATGGAGTTCAGCAGGGGTACCTTAGCTCTGAAAGGTATGAAATATTTCATGTTTGAGAAGAAGCAAGCATTAGAGTCTGTTAATACAGAAAGGTTATTTACTGTAGTAGTGAGCTTAAATACAATGAGTTACATACATTTATTACCTCTGATATTAATGCTGATATACTCTCTCTGCTCCGGTTGTGAAACACAGCAAGTTCTGTTGCACAGTCTTCATCAAGGTGCCCCAGCTGCAAAAACAAGACCTGTACTGAAGAAACAGCTTCCAAGTCATCTCACAGAGCCAATATCACCATGATAGTCTTCTGATATGCAGCAATCAAGTCAATAGCTAGCCACCATTTCAGATTTTCTATTTTAAATAGTTAGCATCAGGGCTAAATACTGCAAGGAGTAAACAGAGTCACCAAACTTCAGCAACTGGTCCCTCTGTGGCAACAGGTTCTGCATTCAAGTACAAAGATTGATGAGAATGAGTGATGAGATTTTCACTAGAGCACAAGTTACACCTCTATCCCCTCTTAA